AAGTTCATCAGCACATCTGTTGTTGGCTAACTGGTGAATTACCATAGATAGCAAGTTAATACCTAACCAGGTTGGACTTGTGGCACCGATGAAGGCCAAACTATTTTATTCTTTATGCTACAAGTGTCACTGGGCCCTCCTCTCTGTGAGGTCCCGCCACAGGTTCCTATTCTGCTTCTAAAACATGCCGAAATGATCTCCGGAATAATATCAGGACATTACTTGGAGTTTTCTAAGAGACGCGCTGCACTTATGTAACTGACTATATAACACCATAAATACTACGCCTGCTTTTAAGAGCAGGTTATACTAAGATTTATAAAGAGACATTTATGACTAAAGCTAAGCTAATCTATTATGATAGCGTCCTTCATTGTGAACTGTTGAAAAGCACGGTTAGTAGGTTGGCACTGCCTCACAAAAGTTTAGCCAAAGTTAATATGAGTCATGCAAAACAAGAGGAATGTTCTTCCACCTTTGACAGTGTAATCGAGTTAGGAGTGGAGAATTCGGCCAATAAACTGGAGGAATGACTTGCACAGCACATGCACACTGCTTCAACATGAGTTTGAAGCAGTGTGATGTAGAAACAAACAAAGCTGTCTATTTTAAACGTTCTCTGGAGTAAAGCCTGCCAGCCTGCTGACATTTGAGTGAACATCTCTGAGCTTCTTGTCAACTTTAACTGAACTAGTGAGATTATTTCCACTGTTCCCTGTCCTTGCTATTAACATATTGTACAGTCATATCCCAATACATGTTGGAGGCAGATGTGCTTCTTGGTACACTTTGAGGTCTGCTGTTTGAATAGCGTGCATCGTACTGGAAGGCTGGTTCGTCCTTTGTCCCGTTGAGTCCAGTATGGCTGCTTCTAGGCTGTCGAATACTAAGAATCTTCTTTCCGTTTAGGTGCCACGCAGGCGAGTCTACTGTCTACAAACTAACTACACTCACTCGTCAACAAAGCTCACCTGATATGTGACCTGGTGGCCATTGTCCCAGGCGTACAAAAGCTTTTCCTTTGGGTTGTAGTCAATCTGGGTGGTGAAGGAGTACTCGTTGGTAAAGGGCAGGCGTGGGATGGCTTCAGTGTTGGTGTGGGTGTCATAAGCATAGCTCACTTCCCCTTCTTTCTGGTTGTACACATTGACAGCATACAAAACGCCACAGATAATGAAGCAGTTTCCATAAGAGTTCCTCTTGAGGCCCGTTGTGTAGGTGGTTTCCTTTTTTAAGGACAGGTCTCCTGGATCGAGTTTACTGATGACGATCACCTCTTGGTCATTGTAGTCATAGTCAACAGAAGGATAGATTACCCACAGGCCACTTTCATCCACTGCAAAATCAATGTCGGAGTGGCCCCTCCACTTCCAGGGGGTGGTGTCCTCATAGACGACATCGTGCAGCTGCGTCCACGCTGCCACGTAGCGCATCCTCAGGTCGTACTTGATGATGTTCTTGGTGAAGGCCCGGTTATAGTAGAAAGCTCCGCTGTAAACCACGTGACCTGTGCCGATCCAGTTGTAAGGCAGTTTGAACAGGTTGCTCCAGCGCCCTGAGGTAAACGGGAAGATTCAAACGTTAGCTTTTGCTTATTTAGTAGGTAACCAGAGTCCTAAGTCTGCCAATGAGCAGCACTTTTTCCTGCATCGAGTCCAAAAACTCAAAGACTGCTGCACTGCGAGATATAAAGAACAGATTATGTTTACTTCTCGTCAACCTCTCAAAATCTACTAGATTGCTAGTAACTCATCAGACAGACACAGCGTCTGGATTAAGTTACTGTCCAGCCCTTTTTATACGACTTTTCCACAGAACATCCAAATAGAAAACTTTTTAACCAAAGCTACAATGAAATATTGAAAGTAAGCGACTTCATTGGGCGGGTTTTTTCAACACTAACCCTCGATGCACTGGTTGTACTTTTTTTGGCCTTTTTCAGCTTTGATAGACTCAGTGAAGAAAAGACAGGAAAGCAGACATGCAGCAAAGGGCCTCAAACCCGGGCCGGACTCAAACCCGGGCCGGACCCAAACCCGGGCTGGCTGCTCACAGCTACATGGCGTGTAGTCGTCTGCTTAACGCACTGAGCTAAACCGGCGCCTGAGGTTTTACTTAATACTGGAGCTCGGCTGCATTAGCATATGTCATGTCTATATCTAAAGTAACAACGAGTACATCTAATTTCATGATTTTAAGAGTTTTTGTTGCTCAGTATATAAATTCCAAATTCCTTTTTTACCAATTCAGCTTTGATTCTGTATTTATGAACTTAATAGATACAATAGTATGCTTTATTATCATTTTAATTGTCCAGGACAGGAGATTTTGGAAGACACATTAAATATGTTACAATGTATAGAAAACAGAGATGTAACCGACTGATACATCTTCATGTTGCAATGGAGTGATTAATTAGCTTTCACATCCTCTGCTCTATATATAATTTCCCCAACTGCTATCCTAACCTTTCAACCACATGTCTAATTTTGATGATGATGATAACTGAGGGCCAGTGAAGGACAAAAACAGTGCGTCCCCCACCCCGTTCACCTTCACACACATGTGCACACACACTAGGCCCATCCCCGAGGCCATACACGTAATCCTCCTCTGCTGTGCCCAGTTCAAAGGAAAGGCCAGAGCACATGTCAAGGAACAGCAGGCATCACCGCCACTCACCAAGATACCTAGTCATCCGCACACAGCTCTGAGCTCACCACGCTGCAGGACGCCTCACATGTAAGTGCGTTTAGAAAGCCCATTGTCCAACCACATCTAGATCAACAAGTCAAATCCTAAAAGGGGAGATCATCTTAACTCTCTTAGAGAGTGTAATCCAATTCCTCTGTTGATTTGGATGTAAAAGGAGTGGATTTTCCCACCCACTGGAGCCATGAAGCAACCAAGCAGCCTACATTCCACAGATCTCATCAATCTCACAGAGCTCATTGGATTATCAGCATGAATCAGTGTCACGAATGTTAGAACAAAAAACAGCTATTAGTTAAAGCAGTTACAAGTATGTTAATAATAATAAGGATTGCATTTATATTATGCTTTTTGGGACCCCTCAAAGCGCTTTATAATTCCACTATTCATTCACACACTGGTGGAGGCAGCTACAGTTATAGACACAGCTGCCCTGGGGCAGACTGACAGAAGCGAGGCTGCCATATTGCGCCATCGGCCCCTCTGACCATCACCAGTAGGCGGTAGGTGAAGTGTCTTGCCCAAGGACACAACGACTGAGACTGTCCAAGCCGACCCTCGAGCTCCCGGCTAGCTATCGAGCTGGTGGGTAGCAGACGTTTCCGAAAACGTCGAAGCACTTTTGCAAATATGCGATATCTTGATAAACCGAGCAGATATTTGAAGTTTACACAGCTACTTTCTCGCCTGAAAATATGTTAAAAGTTTATTTTGTGACCCAGAAAGATTAGTATGAGTAATTTTAAAACTTAGTAGCGGCCGCCATTGTTGGAAACTGGAGTTTGGCTGGGCCACGCTATGAATTCTGGGATATGGTAGACCACGAAGGACACACCCGACCCATCCTTTCAAATCCGGGGAAAAGGAGGACGCATTTGTCGGCTGCATTCGGAGGAGTCTACGAATTTGGACAGCCTTCGGCGCGTCGCTGTGACGTAATCGGTCTACAAATGCGGCCTCAGGAGGAAGCAGCCCATGAATTTGGATGCCGCTGTTGTGCAGAGTTCTGTCACCTTGTTTGAAGTTGTCCAGGTTCCGGAACTCCACGAGGTTGTTGCCATAGTAATAGTTAGTGACGTAGATCTTGGAATCCTTGGCCAGGGGATCCTTCATCCAGGCACCCTCGTTGCGCCCATAACTGTGCTGCTTCTCTGGCAGTTCAATCGATGCTAAAGTCCCCTCACAGTTGAGGATCTTTCCTGAAAGTAACATAAGCAGAACATTCACCATGAACGCCTGGGAGAGAGTGACTTGCATTACCACGGGCTTAAATCAATTTCACGCACAGACATGTGTTGGCAGAGAGAATGACCCAATTTTCTGCTGCTATAATCGTCTGTGTTACTGGAGTCAAAAGCCTGAAACCCAGAGCATGCTGAGCTCAGTGAGGATTCATGACGTACCTGCTCTGTGGAGACTGGGTCGGCTGTTGTTGTTGGAGTTGTCGAGCATTAGCATGATCGTCGGAGCTGGTCTTTCAGATGCTGGTGCACTCTGAGTGGACACAGTAGTGGGTACCGAGGTGGTGGAAGGTGTGCCGCTGGTGGTGGTGGTGGTGGTGGTGGTTGTAGTTGTAGTGGTTGGAGCTGCTGTGGTTTCAGTGGGTTCAGCCACCGTGGACTCGACAGTTTCAAGGACTAGCTCAGCTTCTCTGTCCTCAGACTGGTTTTCTGTGACGTGATGGACTGTGTATGTTTTGGCAGAATCTGAAATGGAGGCAGAAGCACACGAAGTGACACGATTGAACAGAAACATTCCTTTATAAACTTCCATAGATTACATATTGAGTAATTTACTTTGTATTAATACAACATTTAAGTAGTTGAAGTTATTGGATTAATTTTATTATTGCATTTAACTCTGGGTGAACGTGGTGTTCCCCTCACGCTGCAACCAGCAGTACACTGAATATGAATATGAGGCACTGAGCAGGTCCCAAGTCTCCGGATCTAAATCTGTACACTACTGGGATCACAGTTGGAACGAGGCTTGTTTCCAGACTTGTTCAAGCCCGATCCACCCTCCAACCCACAGAACCAAAATATTTTGCTGCTAATATCCCAGTGCCAGACACCACAGGACAAGCAAGAGGTTCTCTCCGCATGTCCAAACTGGTCAGAGCTCAGTCTGCTACTGCATTAATTTGTGTCTAAAGAGTAAAATGTTACTGCATAAAAATATGTAGCTGAAAACACAAACATAAATTTAAGAGTGCTAAACCTGCTCTGCAAGCTAGCTGTCACACAAGTACAACTATAACTAATATTACTCGTTTCCAGTTGAATCATTCGTATATTAAAGGAACAACACTAACACTGTTTGCTTGTCTTTATGTAACTAAATATAGTGACTTCTCTGACGCTGTGAAAACAGTAAAACTCCACAGAGTTAGCTTTCATTGCAAATAAAGACTCCAGTGAGACTGCAAAACAAGGAAAGGCATCCCTCAGGCTGCGACAGGAGAAAGGATGACGTTAGCTGTTTATAGCTGTAAACAGTTTTTTGGGTTGTTTTGGTTACTTTTGGGCTAGGTAGGTATATTGAGCTTTACCAAGAGTTTGTAAACCATGGATGGTGGCACATGCACAGTGGATACAGCTCGTTGAAAAATGTAACAGCCTGCAGTGCTCCAGAAGTTCACATCAAAGGCAAATTCTGTATGAATGATTCTGAATAATGCTGTTTGAGACAGGATATGAAATAAACAGTTTACCTGTTTAACCAAAACTACCCATATCAGTTGTTTCAGTCCTCTTTGTTGGGTACGATGGAGTGTTATGCCTATTCTGAAGTTCTAGAGTAGAGCTCATTAAACGCTGTATAAGCGTTAAAATCCTGATGCTTAACTAAAACAAAAACCAAGCATTAAATGACATATACTTGACTATACTAGCACACTGTTGTCAGTGTGAAGACAAAGAAAGCCAATACTAAAGTAGATAAGGTGCCAATTAAAGACAACTTCTGGGTTATTATATTATGAAAAATCTAGCAGTTGGCAATGAATGTTTCAAACATCATCGATCCATCGAGGATTATTAAATGTCTTCCTTATTATTATACATGTGACCATAAGGGGGCACCTCAGAGCTTTTAATTACTCCAAAAATCACGGTTTGAAATAAAGTGATTGGTAAAGATACCTTCAGTTTATGTTATTTCTACCAGAACACCCGGATGAAGCTTTAGAAAGACGGGAAGCCGATAACCATGAAAAATTCTTCTCAATATCCACATTCTCATGGCTAAAGATGAGAACACTATTCATAAAAAAGAAGAGGAAAAGGAGGGAGATTTCAGTATTTAAGGTGAGAGCTAGAGAAGAATAGATCAGGATGTCAATTTAATTTAAACTGCAGTAATTCTGTTATAGTTTTTTGTTTGTTTGTTTGTTTTTTAAATTCGGATGTTCCCCTGCAAAAACACAGTGACGACATTATGACAGGTGTTTGAAATAACGGCTGGAGTTTAAGAAATGTAGGAAGTAATAAAGTAATAAAGTAATAAAGTGTGCTCAATAGACCACATGAAATGCCCCCAGAACCTGAGGCTTAACTGGATGATTCAGGGTCACCTGATCCAGCCTTACCTGTAATACCACACAGAGTAGATAGCTCGTTAGTCACATGTTTGTGAAAACACCGATGTTTACTTTGAAAGTGTTTCACATTTACTCTTTGTAACCAGCGCTGTTTCCTGTGCTCATAGTTATAGCATTAATTTATATGGTATTGATACGGTGTGTCTTAGGCTACGTCCACACGTACACGGGTATTTTTGAAAAC